TGTCTCGGGCCTGTAAGTGGGGCTGTGACAGGGCGGTTACTCTGAGCTGCCACTGGCCTAGGCTAGAGTGACTCAGAAGAAAAAAGGGGTGTACTGGGAGTATACTTTAGAGTGCTTGCCTGGAACCCAAAAAGCCCTGACCTTGAGACCTGGTGCCCTACTGCGCATGTGTGGCACATCCTTGCCTGTAGTTCCAGTAAGGTGGCCGGAGTGTCAGAAGCTTTGTTTCAAAAACAAAACATCATTTAATGTCATTTAACCCAACAGTGTTTCCAGTATGCTATAAAAATCGCATTTCAACTAAATCTACACAGCTGGAAAAATAAATTAATAGCTTCAGGCTGCGGGTGATGGAGCATGCCTTTAATCTCAGCACGCTGGAAGGCAGAGGCAGGCGAATCTCTGGATTCAGGGTCAGCCTGGCCTACATAAAGAGTTCAGAGTGGCCAGAGCTATGCAGAGAAACTCTTTCTTGGGGGGGGGGAAGAAAAAAAAAAAACCAACCAAACAAGACAAACCGAAATAAAATGGAAATTAGAATTTTCTTCAACTCCTGGCTTTGGTTTTCAGTTATCATGAAATCCAGACAAGCCGGGGTGCTGTGGTGCACGCCTGTGATCCCAGAACTAGGGTAGGCAGAAGCAGGTGGATCTCTGAGTTTGAGTCCAGGACAACCAAAGCTACACAGAGAAACCCTGTCTCCCTTAAAAAGAAAGACAAGTCATTCATTGCCAGTCTTAATCTCAGAGCCCTGGGGTGTCAAACAAAGCCCCTGATAGCAAGTGCAGTGGGAGGATTGGATGCTGTAAGATGGATCTGGCACACACCCCTAATCTCAGCCACCCCCACCCCCGATGGGTGTATGCCGGGTTGTGGTTGTGCCGCACATTCTTTTGTCCTTCCTCTTTGAATCTGCCCTGGCTGGTCCCCACTGCTCCTCACATCCTCAGTTGACTTGACAGTGGGTTGGAGGTGAGTTTTCCAGTTACCTTGTGTCTGTTGAGCTGTCTGCCAGGGTTTTCTCCCTGACTGTGGATCAGAGCAGGCAGAGGACATGGGAAAGCTACAGGCCGCTGTGGTACTTAGGGGCCATTTTGGCTGTTGTAACCAAATGGCCGTTAATGGCCATTGCTGCCAGTTCACTCTCTTCAACAGTTAGCTGTTTGAGGATTAAGGGAGCCAGCGAGTTGCTCCTGGTTTTCTCTCCTGGAGTGTAGGTTGACCTTCAGCACTAAGAACTAAGAGGTGGGGTGCCCTCTTTCACACTGCTCAGCTTGGTTTTGGTATTGAACCTGGTTTATTGAAGCAGGGCCCTTGGTCTGGCAAGCAGTGGTATTGGGATTAGAGGACTTCAGTCAGGTGGGGCTTCGGGACTCTTTGATAATATCAGACCTTCTTTTCTCTCATTGTGATCGACTTTAAATTCAGTAACGACTGTCACCATCGCTTCCACTGTACCCTCTGGTCTGTTTTCAAGTACCATCAGGAGCTTTATTGGAGGTAGTTTCCACCAGGAGAAACCACTGTGGGGTGAAATAGTTGTGGCTCACCGCCTCAACTTTCCTAATGCTTCGGCTGTGTAATACAGACCTTTACATTGTGGTGACCCCTAACCACAAAATTATTTTTGTTGCTACCTCATAACTAATTTTGCTACTGTTATGAATTGCAATGTAAACGCTTGTGCTTTCTGATGCTCTTAGGTGACCCCCGGGGAAAGGGCAGGTAGTTCGACCTCCAGAGGGTCCAACCTACAGATTTAGAGCCACAGCAAGTTCTGTCAGCACACCAGCCTAACCCAGTCGATATTAGGCCTCCCATATATGGGGTGAATGAGTTTTCCAAAGGGGGAATTCAGGTTACAGGTCTCAGCATTGCTCTGCGCGGTTTGGGCCTGAAAGGAATTAGATAGCATCACACTCAATGGAAAACCAGGCTTAGAAGACAAAGGTCCTTGGGTGCCTCTGCTTCCCGGCCATCCCCGTGCACTTCAGTCAGGGCTGGGGGCTTTGCTGAAAAGGAAGCCTGGGAGGAGCCTAGAGTGGGTTCCCAGGGTGGGGTGTGTGCCCTGGAGGGGTGAGGGAGGGCTGCTGGGATGTCTTTCTTTCATTGGTTGGGTGGCCCTGCCCTCCTCCCTCCCTCTCCTGGAACATTCCAGACATTCCAGCCAATCTGCCTGCCATTGCTTTCTGGATATGGATTAACATCCTTGCAAAGGTTTGATTTCACTGCCACCACCCTTCTCTTCTGGCCTTCTTGAATAGAAGGCCCTGAAACAGTTTGAACAGGGAAGTTTTGGCCTTTGACCTTGGATTGCACTAATGGACTGTTTTTAAACCAGGCTCCTGTACTACAGTTGCTTTATGTCTCTTTGCTTTAGCTCATGGGCTGGCAGCCGTCATCTTCCCTCCATCCAAAAGGAGGTGTCCTGGGCTGGGCTACTCCTGCTGTTAAACCAAGGCAGCTCCTTTTTGGCCAATCCTTGGACCTCATGCCTGAAGGGATGAGGCCTAAGGACTCAGAAGTATGCTTTTTGGCTTCGTGTGTGTGTGTGTGTGACAGACAGACAGGTAGACAAATAGAGACAGAGGGAGAGAGAACCTCACATAGCTGTATCTGGCCTTGACTTTTTGATCCTCCTGCAAGTGTGCATGCTGCACTGGGATTACAGGCATTTGACGCCATGATTGTCTTTCTGTGCAGTGCTGAAACTTGAACTCAGGGCGTTGTGCATGCCAGGCAAGTGCTGTGCACACTGAGTTAGTTATATGTTTGACTTTTTTCCCTTCCTCCTTTGTTCTCACTCCAGTGTCACCTTCCAGACTGGCCTACCCCTGGCTCCTTCGTAAGGACTGGTCTTCTCTCTGTATCAATCAGTCCTGCTTTAGACTCCTTTGTGTGGGGATCACGGGTTGTGCCTTCAGGCGAGCCGGGTTTCTTTCTGATTCTCACTATATCTTGCGAAATAATTTTGTTAGGTCAAGTTCATAAACCACAAAGATTCTCTTCCAAGCAGATCCACCCTTCTTGTACCTATCCATTCGTTCACTCATTCATTGGCTGGGTTTCGCTGTGTCGCTCCGGCTGTTCAAGAACTCCGAGATCTGCCTGCATCTGCCTCCTAAATGCTGGAATTTGGGAGGCAGGGATTAGGGTTAGGGATGAAGTAGCTAAAGGAGCCGAGCACCACCACCACCCTGCTCCTTTAATTCCACACTGGACTCTGACTTTGGACAGCCAAGGTCAACACATACATAGTTAGGACACGGCCTTCCGCTTGTGCCCCAGTCCACAGCTGGGGAACAGCTTATCTAGTAGGCTGCTGAGGCCTGAACAACACAAGTGACTAAGCAGATCTTATGTGATGAGTATTTTACCTGCATGTATGTTGGCCCGTGCAGTGTGTGCGTGCAGTGCCTGTGGAGGCCAGAAGAGGGTGTCTCATCCCCTCATTACAGAAGGTCGTGACCCGTCCTGGGTGTGCTGGTTATTAAACCTGGTCCTCTGGAAGAGCATTCAGTACACTTAACTGCTGGGTCATCTATCCAACCCTCTGGACCTTGTCTGTGAACCTAGGGTTTGTGCAGGATCAAAGATATACAGAGATCTAAATGACAATTGACTAACACATCAAGTCAATTTAAATGTCTTAAACTCGGGGATTAAGGTATTGATTTGGGTGGTGAGCGGTTGCTCTGGGAGTTAGCCCTGAACCTGAAAGCATTCCTCAGGGGAAATCACTTTTTTCAGAGTTGAAAGCTGGGATGGAGGAAGTATAGTGTAGTCACCTGGGAAGGAGAAAAAGTTGGTCCTGATGCTGGGCTGTGTGTGCGCGCTAATCGCCCTGGAGAACCTTAACCATTCCTGGATGCGTCTATGGTTACACTTTAAGGACTTTTCCAAGCCTTTACTAAGCGCTTTACAAATAGTGTCTAATGCCGCCCACCGCCTGTGAGTAGGCGTTATCCCTGTTGTACAAAGGGGGAAACTGAGAGATCAGGGCTAATAAGTGGTTTAGATCCCTGGCTATGCCAGGGCTTAGCCACTGCACTATTATCTTATGCACTTGTTCGCATATATTGTTTCCCCTAATACGATTCGAGCACCTGGCCAGGCATTCTGCCTCTTTTGTTCATTGCTGTGCCCCTGCCCCAGGAGCAAAGTGGAGCTTCAAGTCTGTGCCAGATAGAGGTGTTGGATTAATTAATAGTTACTGTCTTACTTGAATTTTTTTTTTTTTTTTAAATTATGTATGTGTGGGTATGTTCCTCTGAATCAGGTGCCTGAAGTGGCCAGAGGTATCGGATCCCCTGGAACTGGGCTTCAAGCAGCCATGAGCTGCCTCACATGGGCATTAGGAGTCAGACTCCCGTCCTGAAAGAGCCCGAGCACCATTTCTCCAGCCCCTTGACTTTGTTGTAGGGCCGAAGAGAGAAGTATGAAGGAAAGCTAACTTGTAGCAAACATCAAAACAATAGGTTCAATCTGCTGCTGCTGTTATGCTGAGAACATCTGGTTCTTTAATGCCTCTGTGGCCCTGCTAGTCTTTAAGGTCTATAAGTGGGCCAGTGAGGGGAGGCCTTCCCCACACTAAAATATGCCTTCCTGCTTGGGTTGCTATTCTTTTTTTTTTTTTTTTTTTTTTTTTTTCTGAAATGAGGTTTCCCTGTATATTCTGGCTTCCTGTAATTAATTATGGAGAGCAGGCTGATCTCAAACTCAGAGATGCTGCCTGCCTGCCTCTGCCTCCCAAGTGCTGGGATTAAAGGTGTGTGCCACCACTCCTGGTTTAGGTTACTAATTTAAGGGCTGGGTATCTAGCGTGGGACAGACCGTGAATTCAGTCCCCAGCACTGGGGAGGAAGCCGTTGTTCTACGGTTTGGTGAAAAAATTAAACTGGGATAGGGATTAGAAACTGCCAGGTCATGGGGGCCTAAAGCACCTGGAATTATCATTTTTTAATCCTAACACTGGGATCCCCTTCCCCCTTTCATTTCAGGAGTCGGAAAATTCAGATTCGAAATATTCCACCTCAGCTCCGATGGGAAGTAAGTGTTCGGGGAAGTAAATGCGCACGTTGGGTGGAGAGCAGAGACTGGATGGGCTGAGAATAAGGAGAGAGGCGTGGTTAGTAGGGTTTCATTTTTCACTCATGCTCTGGGACAAGAGGAGGTAGGAAGAGTGTTTCTAGGACTTCAAAAGGCTCTTAGCACAGAGACAGGTTCATTCCTACAAATGCCAATGACACCATCAGCCTATAGGGCCCTAAGAGACGGAACTGAAAGGAATCAAACCGTCTAGCTCGTGCTGGTGCCCCAGAGTTTTGGGCCAGGGGTATTCTGGCCCCGAGGTACTCAGACACCTTCTGCTACTTCTCCAGGTGCTGGATAGCCTGCTGGCTCAGTACGGGACAGTGGAGAACTGTGAACAAGGTAAGACAGGGTTGACTGGCTTCAGCATCAAGCTGTTCTGTGATCAGATCCACTGCGAAGACCCAGGGTATAGGGTATAGGGCATAGCACGCCTGGACATACAGGCTGGCCAGCTGGTCCCATCTTGTGGATGGCTTACTGTGTGTGGTCCCACAAAGCTGGGCTGTTGTGCTACAGTGTGGTAGGCAATCTTAACTCCCCCCATTTTTCTCAGTTTTTTTCTTTACAATATTCCGTCTGCCTGCATCTATGCCTGCAGGCAAGAAGAAGGCACCAGATCTCATTATACATGGTTATGAGCCACTATGTGGTTGCTGAAACTGAACGAAGGACCTCTGGAAGAGCAGCCAGTGCTCTGAACCTCTGAGCCATCTCTCCAGCCCGTTTTCAATTTTTCAAGACAGGCTTTCAAAGTGTAGCTGTGGCTGTCCAGGAACTTGGAATATATGACTTGTTGTATGGATCAGACTGGCCTTAAACTCAAATCTGCCAGCTTCTGCCTCCTGATTGCTGGGAATAAAGGCATGGGCCACTGTACAATTCTTTATCACCCTTTCTCAATGAAGAGTCTTAGTCCCAGGCTTGGAGGAATCTCAAGATGTCAGTAGTTCAGGAGTGGAAATTTGTAGGGGTAGGTACCTTTAGTCCTTGCTCTTAAAACCTCTTAAGAGGCAGGATTTCTGTGAGTTTGAGGCCATCCTGGCCTGTATATCAGTTCCAGGGCTATCTAGAGAGACCTTGTCTTTACAAGGAAAAAAAATCCTTCTGGGCTTTTGGTGTACTTCTTTAATCTCAGTGCTCAGAAGGCAGAGGCAGGGGATCTCTTATGTTGCCTAATGATTAAAAAAAGCACTAGCTGCTCTTCAGAGGACAGGTTTGATTTCCAGCACCCAGAGGTGGCTCATAGCCATCTGTAACTCCAGTTCCAGAGGATCTGGTGCCCTCATCTGACCGTTAAGGGGACATGCAGGCAGAACATCTGCACATAAAATAAAAAGGAAGAAAAAGGATTTTTTGGTTTTTTTTTTTTTTTTTAAACCACCCAATTTGCTGGGCATGGTAGCCAGCAAATTAATCCCAGCACTCAGGAAGGCAGAGGCAGACACGTCTCTGTGAGTTTGAGGCCAGCCTGGTCTACAAAAGAGTCCAGGACAACTAGGGCTTGTTATGCAGAGAAACCTTGTCTCCAACAAAACAAACAAAACAAAAAAACACCACTAACAAAACCCACCCAAAGCCAGGCGTGGTAGAGCCCTCCTTTAATCTTAGCAGATCTCTATGAGTTTGAGTCCAGGGCTACACTGAGAAATTCTGTCTGGAGAAGCAAAAAGAAAACCATCCAAACAGTTTATTCGTTAATAGTCAAATGGACCCACCGAGGGAAGAGCAGGAAGGCTAATCCATACAAATATTCGCTGTGGCTTTGAGGGTCTTCTGTTTCTAAGTGTAAATTCTTTGCAGAGGAAATGAGCTTTGGGTGGTTTTGTTGGACATAGCAACACACAGGAACATGACATGCTCACGGATAGCATGTGGGTATCAACGTCCTGCTTACATCAAGGCAGGCGTTAGGCTCCTCAGTTTGTCTTTTCCCTTTGGTGACAACGTGTACGATCTTGCAGCTTTCTGAAGTTCATAGTGGCGATCCACGCAGGAGGACTCGCTCCTTCCGTTTGTCATTCGGTACCCACCAATCAGCTCTTGGATGGGAATCATTCTTTTATCACCCCTTTCCCCCAGGGTTTCTCTGTGTAGTCTTGGCTGTCCTGATTCACTTTGTAGACCAGGCTGGCTTCAAACTCACAGAGATCCGCCTGCCTCTGCCTCCCTGAGTGCTGATATTACAGGCGTACACCACTGCCAAGATGTTGAGAATACTTGAGCCTGGAATTCCTTCTGGAAAAGTGTATGGTATCTGAGCTCATAGAATGGCTTTAGATAGCCCCAAATCCCTTCAGCCATTGAGGGAAGGAAACTAAAGCCCATTTTTTTCTTGACAAGTTACCTCTGTAATGGCTAATCTCACCCACTGGGTGTTGCTTATTTGCTGGTTAAACTTCCCCGGGGTACATTTGCCTGTAGAGCAGGATTTTATTGGGGGGGGGTGTATTCGCCTTGCTGTGCCATTGCTACATCTGAAAGCCAGAAAGACTCTACTAGCCTGGCTTCCAGCGTCTCCAGTAAAGGAGGACTCCTGCAAGTGTCCTTCAAGTGTCCTCTAAGTCCACTGCTTTACCCCTACCCCACTTTTTTTTTCTTGGTTTTTCGAGGCCAGGTTTCTCTGTAGCTTTGGCTGTCCTGGACTCTTTATAGACCAGGCTAACCTCAAACTCAGTGATCCGCCTGCCCCTGCTCCCTTGTGCCGGGATTAGAGATGGGCTTCACTGCCCCTTTACCTGTAAACAGGTTGGGGTTTGTTGGCAGAGCTGTAACTGGTTGTGTTGTCTCTACAGTGAACACGGAGAGTGAGACGGCAGTGGTTAACGTCACCTACTCCAACCGGGAGCAGACCAGGCAGTGAGTACCTCAGGAGTGGGACTGGGTTCTCTCCTTGGAGCTCCATGACTGGAGGAGCCTGTGGCCAGAATTAAACAGCTGGTTTCTGAAATTGGTTCAGCCAACCCTAGGATCCCACAAAAGGTCCTTTCAGGGGCCATGTTTCAGAAATCAGAACTTTCTCTAAAAATGAACTGAAGGGGCAGGAGGTGGGGGATGGCTGGGAGCAAAGACTCTGGGCACCTGGGACTTCCAGAGTCCTGGACTGTGGCGACGGCGCCATCTTTTGGTTATGAGGGGGAACTGCCTCGTTCAAAATGGGTGGCTCAAGAGTGTGTGAGACCCTGGTGTCCTCCAGCTCGCTTAGGTAGCCAAGGGAGACCCTGAAGCCCTGATTTGTAGCCCCTGTTTTCTGAGCATTGGGATTATGGGTGTGCGTTACATATGGGATCCCGGCTGGTTTGCTTCTAGGCAGCTTGAACCACCACCCCCACCTCACAGGCTCGCCTCCTTAGCCCTTAGGATCAACATTTACAATTCTCACTCTGTGAGTGGACAGAACACAGGTTGTGTACACTGATTGCTTTTAGCTCTCTGGCTGTCAAAGGGTCTTGCCACATTTTGTTTTTTTATTTTCTGCTCCAGCACTTTCCAGTGGTCTTAGTGAAAGTTTTTTTTGTGAACAATAAATTGCAAGGAAACATGTAGCATTGTTGTATCAACTACTTTTCCCTCAGTGTGTCCTCTCATAGACCAGAAGGTTCCCTAGTGATGGTGGGTGGCAGACGGATGGGTATCTCCCCATCTTTAGCGTATCCCCAGACTGTGCCCCTCTGTAACTCAGGAGGTGCTTTGTGTAAGAAAGGTGCTTGGTGTGATTGGCATGAGTTGGAGTAACCATTGGACTTACCTGTTCCCAGAGCCATCATGAAGTTAAACGGCCATCAACTGGAGAACCATGCCCTGAAGGTCTCCTACATACCTGATGAGCAGATAGCACAAGGCCCTGAGAATGGGCGCCGGGGCGGCTTTGGCTCTCGGGGCCAGCCCCGGCAAGGATCGCCCGTGTCGGCAGGGGCTCCAGCCAAGCAGCAGCAAGTGGACATTCCCCTCCGGCTTCTGGTGCCCACGCAGTATGTAGGCGCAATCATTGGCAAGGAGGGTGCCACCATCCGCAACATCACAAAGCAGACTCAGTCCAAGTGAGTGCTGGGAAGGGCAGGTGCGGGAAGAGATTTTGCAGCCTGGTTTGGTCATCAGCACTTTTCTCCTGGGGATTGTGGCTTGGGACGTGGGTGGTCAGCGTTATCAGTGTTTCCTCTGTGTGAGGTTTGGGCACATGAAGAGGCAGAATAGGTCTCTGGCCCATACACTGTCACCAGCAGGAAGAGTTGCTCCAGCAAACCCAGTCCTGTGGGTTGGGAGTCAGCCACTCCTCAGGCATTCTTTGATAAGTGGCCACTTAATGGTGGTGGCAAGCTGGGCAGCCTGGCTGGAGTCAGGGCTCTTTGGCATCAGAAATAATTTCTGTCCTGCCTCCTGCTTTCCTCCTCTCTGCAGATGGTTGGTGCTTACAGGAAAGAGCGGTTCAGGTTGTGTCCTTCACATAGTAAATCACTATTACTTACTTGGGACAGTGAGTGTCCCTGATACATTGCTTGAAAAGGGGAAAACCGTCTCAGCCACACAGCTTGGGAGTGTCCCCACCCAGCAGCTGTTGGGTGGACTGCATTAGAGCAAGTCCTGGCCGTGGTTGCCTGGCCCCTTGTTGACTTTCCCAGTTCTATACTTGACAGGCCCCATTCCAAGGAGAGTGGATTCTATGCCTTTGCTTGACAAGACATGGGGGAAGTCCCGTGTTTTTGGAGACAACTAACCAGCTTTATCTTGTGTTCCTCAGGATAGATGTGCACAGGAAGGAGAACGCGGGAGCTGCGGAGAAGGCCATCAGTGTGCATTCAACCCCAGAAGGCTGCTCCTCCGCGTGTAAGATGATCCTGGAGATTATGCACAAGGAGGCGAAGGACACCAAAACGTAAGTAAGAAGGATACAGCTGCACTTGGAGACTGCTGCCCCCCCCCCCCCCTTTTTCTTTTCTGCTGCCCTAGGAGTCAAGTCTGGGACCTCACACGTGCCAGGCAGAGGCTTTGCCACTGAACTACACCCCAGCCTCTACACACCTGTTAATAGCAGTGAGACAGATTAGGAGTTAAGAATTGCACACAAACACAGAAGCTGAGAGACAAGATCTTTCCCTAATCATCTGGAAAGTTTATGTATTCATGATATTTATGTTTGTGTTCATATACATGTATGTATGTTTGTGTGTGTGTGTGTGTGTATGTGTGTGTGTGTGTGTGTTAGAATCTTCGTAGATGGAGTGTGCGGATGAATGCCCATGTGTGTTAGCACGAGGGTCAGACCGAAATGATGCTCTATCTATATGCCTTTATAAATTTTTTGTCAACACATCTGTCAGTAAATATAAAGCCCCGTACAGAGAGAGAAAAGCGACACAGGGCTTGAAATGCAGCCCGGTAGCATAAAGTAGATGCCTGCATGTTGAGACCCGGGTGTGGGCCCACTAATGCAAATCTGTACAGGGGGTTCACTTTCACTACTTTCTGAGTCATTGGTTCTGGCTTCTTTTGTATGGATGGGGGTGTTTGGGCCAGATGGCTGTACCCCAAGCTAATCCTGAACTCCCGTAACTCTTCTGACTCCTGAATGCCCAGTTACAAGCATGCACCACCATGCTTGGCTTCAGTTTCTGTTTTGTGTTCTTGAGAATGGCTCTAGGGGGTGGAGAGATGGCTCAGTGGTTAAAAGCACTGTCTGCTCTTCCAGGGTTCAATTCCCAGCACCCACATGGTAGCTCATAAACACCTGTAAGGTGGTCTGTTGCCCCCTTCTGGCATGCAGCTGTACCTAGTGTACCTGCAAATAGAGGTTCATACGTTTTTAAAGAAATTTTTTTTTTCCACCTGCATTAGGACCAGAGTTAAGATCCCATCATTCATACTGGATGACTCACAAACCCTTGCAACTCAAGCTCCAAGGGATCCAGGGCCGCCCCTTCTGGCTTCCATGGGCATCTTCACACCTTCTCACACCTTTGTCTTCTCTCTCTCTCTTAAATACATACATACAGTCTTTTAAAAGAGAGAGGGGCTCTTCCCCAGGCTATGAGCTTGTAGTCCTCCTGAGTACTGTGATAAGTATATCATCACATTTTCTTGTGTGTGGTGTGTGTGTGCATACACACTTGTTTGTTTGCTTTCAAGGCAGGGCATCTCTGTGTAGCCCTGGCTGTCTTGGAACTCCCTCTGTCGATGAGGCTGGCTTCGAACTCAGAGATCCACTTGCCTCTGCTGGGATTAAAGCCATACTCCACCACTGCCTGGCTTCCTCCCCTTCCCCCATACAGCCTTATTGGGACACAATTAGTATAATAATGCTGTTTGTGTTTGTAGACATGTTGTCTAGATTGGTCTAGAATTCCTGGGCTCAATGGATCCTCCAATCTCAGCTGCAGTAGCTGGGACTGTAGACTGCTGCCTTACCTCCTTCACCTTGGGCGTGGAGCCTGGGCCTCATGCATTCTGGGAAAACAGTACTACTGAGCTAACACCCCCCCCCCCAGTCCAATTGCTCATTTTTTCAAGTGTGCGGTTTGATGAGTTTCGATTTGTATATGGTAGTTAGTACCTGTTGGCCCTGATCACAGTTGAGGCAAAGCTATGGCTCCCATATTTCACCCTTCTTCCCACAGTCCAGCCTCGTCCACCCATTTCTCTGTTTATGAAACTGATCTCCCGTGCATTTCATAATCTGATACTTGCTCTGGTTTTATGGTTGGGTCTTTGTTGACACTATTGACTGGGCTGCCCTCTGCTTCCTCCCCAGGGCAGATGAGGTTCCCCTGAAGATCCTGGCCCATAATAACTTCGTGGGCCGACTCATTGGCAAGGAAGGGCGCAACTTGAAGAAGGTGGAGCAGGACACGGAGACAAAGATCACCATCTCATCGTAAGGCTCTCATTGGGGCCCTTTACAGCACTGCTGAGCACAGGGACCTCATCACTGAGCCTTCGCATCTGCCTCTTAAATGGGGAGGAATGGGGAAGGGGTGATATCATCTCCTCCACAAGGGCTGGAGTGAGTGCCATAGTACCTAACCCAAGAAAGCCTGCAGGGAGTGAGCGCCTGGGCTGGACGTGTGTCTGGCACTGAGAGAAGTGCACAGACCTGGGTCCTTTTCAGCTTTGGCATGCTGGGCTGCCTCTAAAGAACCAGTGACAGGCACTGGTTAGCTGTCCGTAAGCACACTCCCTCTCCATTTCCTGAGAGACTGGCCTGTTTTTGCAGAGTAGCCCTACTGCGGAACAGCGAAAGTAAAGGGCTGCCTGTGGCCAGCCCGCCTGTCTGGCGAGCACAACCTTTCATGATAGGTTGTGTTTCCGCAGAAGGGATTTCTGTGGTAATTCTGCTCTCCTTGTCCTGGTTATCTGAAGGCTGGAGATAAGGACTTCCTTCATAGAAGTTAAACAGCCTCTTGAAGTGCTGGACCCCTAACTCAGCTGGTCTTTTGACCCAGCTGAGGCCTGGTCCCAGCCCTGCGCTGTCCACTACTTGACTTTGTCTTACTCTCTTGCCAGGCTTCAGGATCTCACTCTCTATAACCCTGAGAGGACCATCACTGTGAAGGGGGCCATTGAGAACTGCTGCCGGGCCGAGCAGGAGATCATGAAGAAAGTTCGGGAGGCCTACGAGAACGACGTGGCCGCCATGAGTGTGAGTGAGAGGCGGTGCTGGACCTGTTGCCAGGGACCGAGTCTAGGCCCTGCAGAGACAAGAACTGAACCTCTGAACTATATCCCTAGCCCGTCTTGTAACCTTCTCAGAATTTAGCAGCAGGCAGGTGACCAGGAGAATCTTGGAGCATCACTTTCTTTTAATACACATTGGTGTTCTGCCTGCCTATATGTCTGTGTGAGGCTATCAGATCCCCTAGAACTGGAGTTACAGACAGTTGTGAGTGGCCATGTGGGTGCTGGGAATTGAATCAAGGTCCTTTGCAAGAGCAGCCAGGGCCCTTAACCACTGAGCTACCTTTCCATCCCCTCAGTTTATGCTTTTGAACTCGACTCATCTACGTTTGTCTTGGTGGTAGTGGCGGTGCTGGGGATCAAATCTGGGGTCTTGTACATTGTAAGTAAAGAATCTGCTGCTGGAAATAGGTGACTGTATTTACTCCACATGGCTCCTTTACCGTCTCCTGGGTTGCAGTGGGCAGAATCTTGGCTTTTGTAGGTCTGTGATTTATATGGTGTGATGTGTTCTCCTCCAGTAAAACCTGTGTACTCTAGTAGACAGAAGGGTCCCGATTTCAGCTGTTTTTTTCTGAGCCAGCTATTGGCTAGCTTGTAGGCTTGAACTGACTTCAGTCCTCCTACCTTAGTGTTCCAAATGCTGGGCCTATGGGCATGTGTGAGCGCACCCAGCTCATAGGATTTTCTTTCTTATTTGAAATGAATGTGTGTAACTAGATGTGTACATATCTATGCAGAGGCCAGAGAGGACATCCTGTCTCCTGCTCTGTCACTCACCCTCTTACCAAACCCAGAGCTGTGCGGGTGACAGCAAGACCCAGCAATCCTGTCTCCGCCCCTCAAACCCCACTGGGCTTAGGGGCAATGTGAGAATTTCCGTGGGTTTTGGTGCCCGTATTCATGTCCTCAGTGTGCTTACCCACTGAGCCGTCTTCCCTGCCCCTACCGTCTGGTTTTGCTTGTCACCATCCTATCTTGTTCAGTTGAGACTGCATCGCAGTGTATAGCACAGGCTGGCTTGGAACTTGCTAAGTAGACCAAGCTAGCCTCTAGCTCACAGAGATTCATCTGCTTCTTCCTCTCAGTGTTGGGATTTTTTTTTTTTAAAGATTTATTTCTTTATTTTACATATGAGTGCTCTATTTGCATGTACATCTGCATGACAAAAGAGGGCCCCAGATCTCACTATAGATGGTTGTGAGCCACCATGTGGTTGCTGGGAATTGAACTCAGGACCTCTGGAAGAGCAGACGGTGCTCTTAACCTCTGAGCCATCTCTCCAGCCCCCCAGTGTTGGGATTTTATTCTTACCATGCCCGGCCCCATTTTGATCTTTTAGAGAAAATTGGAGATAGGATACTTAGCAGAAAGGTTCAGAACTACTTGGGCTCCAGGAATGAAAGGAAAAGTTGTCATCACATCCTCAGGTTATGAGCTGGGTTGGCTTCCATCAACATGGCAGAAACAACTAGGGAGCCTGCTGGCCGCCTTCCTGCTAGGGCTTACCATTGTAGTCCGGTGAGGGGTCTCCGTGGCCCGGAAAGCACCATGCCAGGCAGGTTTTTGTACAAAAGCAAATAAATAACTCCTGTGGGGTGCAGGCTTCATCTGGGGTTACTGACCCCTAGAGCCACACACCAGGGCCCACCTGGGTCCATCAGCAAGCTGACCCATGCAGCAGGGCCCATTAGCAAACTGATGTGTGCCTCGCCTCTCCCCTCCAGTTACAGTCCCACCTCATCCCTGGTCTCAACCTGGCTGCTGTAGGTCTCTTCCCAGCTTCGTCCAGTGCTGTCCCGCCTCCTCCCAGCAGCGTCACTGGGGCTGCGCCCTATAGCTCCTTCATGGTAGGTGAAAGTTCTTATTACTGTGGTCCTATCTGAATATCGGGACTTGGGACATTGGGAAGAGGGAGGTCTGCAGTTAGAATATCAGCTACAAAGAAAGGAACCCAGCTGAGTCATCAGTCCTGGTGGGGGCAGCAGCTTTCCACTTGATTTTGCTTTCCTTTAGTCAGCTGGGAGCCTGCATCTGTGCCTTTTGGAGGCTGTAAGGTAGCAGGGTGGAGGGGCCCTGGGTGCTGCCTACGCCCACTCCCTAGTCCTTTGGTAAGAGTTCCCTGTCTTGGCAGCAGGCTCCAGAGCAGGAGATGGTACAGGTGTTCATCCCTGCCCAGGCTGTGGGTGCCATCATCGGAAAGAAGGGACAGCACATCAAACAGCTCTCCCGGTTCGCCAGCGCCTCCATCAAGGTGATTTGCTCTTGAGTTCTTCCGGGACTAGTGTGTACTCCAGCCTTCTTCACACGTTGGAAAATGAAAGCCCAGACCCTTGTGTTGTCTTCAGTGCTTCTAGGTTTCCAGGCTAGACAGGACAGGAGGCCAAATTAACATAGACAGCAGGCTGAGTGAGATTCTGCCACAAAGTAGAAGGACCCTGCCCCAGCCCCATTCCAAACCAGCATTCCCACCTCCTGCTGGACTCCAGCAAGTCTCAATTTTCTGGTGTGGGATCCAAGGAAGCACATGGTGCCTGGCAGTGAGCGCTAGTCTGTGTCTGCCTTCTTAACCACCCTGGATTCAGGATCCGGGAGAGCAAGGAGACTGTCAGTAGGAAGCCAGTGCTGTTGATCTCTCATGTCCAAATTCGTGGCTTCATTCAATGGCATTTAAAGCTTTGTGATTTCCCTCCCTGACTGCAGGGAGGTGTAGCCACTGCCTTCTCTACCCAGTCATCTCATAGTTCCTTTGGCAGCACTCTACTAAAACCCGCAGACAGGGCGGTGGCTGGTCATGGTCCTACTGTGACAGTGTCTGAGGCAGGTCCTGCTAGCCCGCTGCCCGTGCTGTCATCACCCAGTTCTTGTGTGAAACAGGAACTTGGGCTTGAGGCTTTGGTTCTTCCTCCCCCTCTCAGAGCTGACGGTGGGAGGGAACTAGAGGGGCTGGAGAGGCCTTTGCCTCCTCCCAGAAGCAGCTCCCCCTGACCAACTGCATGCTTTGTAGATTGCTCCACCAGAAACACCTGACTCCAAGGTTCGAATGGTCATCATCACTGGACCCCCAGAGGCACAGTTCAAGGTTTGATCTATATTTTTTTCCCCACGATGGATACTGGGGAACTGAGGTTGGGAACTTAACACATTCAGGAAAAGGGTTGGGTTAGCTTCTGTTAGCTGTCAAATTCCCATCACTTATGACTTGCAGTCATTTCTACAGGATACACAGTTGCAAAGCTGCCTCAAGTATGCTGTCAAGCTTAATTTCTGCTCATTTCTCCCTTCCTCCTTCACTTCCTCATGGTCCACACAGGAGTGTAGGCAAGAAGGGGATGTGAGGTATTTGCATTTGAGGTCAGCTCCCTTTCTCTGTGACTATGCTGCTTTACCTGATCTCTGTGAGGATAGACTGGGCAGCTTTCTAGGCACCCAAGGAGTGTCCATTCATGGGTGTAGTGCACTGGTTTTTACCCCATCCACGTAAGTCATCCCAGAACCTCTAAGTGTGGGAAGAGATTATGTCGGTTTCAGGGTCTCCGTATGGAATTCTAGCTGGTTTCAAACTAGCTAGCCAGACTAAGTTGGCTATGAACTTTTGGTAATTCTCCTGCCTCTGTAGTGTGGGACATTCATTTACTCATGGGTCTTAACTCGAGGGTCTCCAGCGTTACAGGTTATCACAGGAAACACTGAGGGTCACCCGCTGGAGGTTTACAACCATCTGCCTTAACTGGTTGGTCTTCCTGGGTAGAATTCTGGCCAGTTGGATGGAAAAGGCTAGGCCTCAGCTTGGAACTACACTGCTTCCACCTAGATACCTGGCCTTTTAACCGTGACCTCCTCTCCCTAGGCTCAGGGAAGAATCTATGGCAAATTGAAAGAAGAGAATTTCTTTGGTCCCAAGGAGGAAGTAAAGCTGGAGACCCACATCCGGGTTCCAGCTTCAGCAGCTGGACGGGTCATCGGCAAAGGCGGCAAAACGGTGAGCTCTGAGGGCTGAAAGCTCAGCCCTTGGTCTCTAAAACCCACATCTTTCTCTAGCTTTTTCACCTCTAGCCTCATTTGTCTACTGGCTTGATTTTACTTCCCAACACCTGGTGCCTGAATCCTTCCATGTTTCATTCACCCTCTAGTCCCACTACTTTTTTCCCCTTCTTCTTCTGGTGCTAGGTCTTGAACCCAGGACCTCATGTGCAAAGCATTCTACCACTGAGTTGCCCTCATCCCTCTATGCACATTTCATTGCTGGTGCTTTGAGCTCTCTGACCACTCCACCCCTAGGTGAATGAGCTGCAGAACTTGACCGCAGCTGAGGTGGTAGTACCAAGAGACCAGACCCCAGATGAGAACGACCAAGTCATTGTTAAGATCATCGGACATTTCTATGCCAGCCAGGTATGTACCATCCTCCAGAGGACTCGGGAGCCAGGAGCAGAGCAATGGAGGAAGGCTGTCAAGGTTGATCTGTGCCTTGATTTGCATAGGCCCTATGCAGGACCAACCGTAACCTCCCTGCTCTGGGCCGGTTTGGTCTGGTTCAGCATGCAAGGGTAAATGATTGTGAGAACGTTTTGTTCCTGTTTAGTCCTCAGTGGTAAAGTGCTTACCACTACTGTGGGGTGTAGACATGCAGGCCTTTAATCTCAGCACCCAGGAGGCAGAGGCAGGCGAGCTCTAGGTTAGAGGCCAGCCTGGGCTACATACAGAAACCCTGTGGGGGGGGGGGGGGGATGCTCACCATCAAGTGAACCTGAGTGCAGTCTCCAGTGCCCACATAGTGGCAGAGAACCAACTTCTGCAAATCGGCTCATTTATGTTTATCAATGCTTATTTATGAAATTTATGACTGTATGTTTTCTCTATTCAAAGTCTCTGTAGTTGTCCTGAACCCCTTTTGAGCTGGATCAGAAGTTAGTATTCAGCTTCGTTCGTGGAAGGATGACAATAAGACTAGTGACATCCTGGGTTTTCTTTTCAGGCCTCTCCCAATTCTCTCCTACTCCCTGTTAAACCCTCTGGCCTACCACTAACTCACCATCTATTCAAAAGAGGCCAGCTTTCCACTCCCAGTAAAACCTCTGCTTCAGCCTCCTGAAAGCTGGGGTCACACGTGTGTCCCTGTACCTGGCTTTGTATCATTTGTAACTTCAACCCCTTTCCTGCTAGTCGGTGGGGTGGCTCTGAAGCCAGGAAGCTAAGCAAATCTTATGTTCAAAATTTTCATTGACCCTCTGCAAGGGGAGGAAAATAGGATTGACAAAGGAACACTCCTAAACTCTCAAACATCACCCCAGTACTATATCTAGCTTACCAGTGTGCTGTGGCTTCCCCTGGGGGCTGCTTGAGTAATTAGGGGGCAAAACTCATGCTTTCAGCTCAAACACACCACACACACACACACCCTTTCTGCCTGCTCTGTTACCTGGGTTTGGCAGCAATATTTTAAGGATCTTTGGGAAATGGTGAAAGCCACAGGAATGATAGCTAAGATTGATGGTCATAATAGACCCAGCATTGTCTCACAGGTTTTGTGGCTATTAACTCAGTTAAGCCCCCTAAGAACCACATTATTCAAATGAGGGAAATGAGGCTTGTAAGGTTGATGGTGGTGTGTCCCAGCTCACGCAGTGCCAGGTGCATTGCATACACTGTCTCAGTTATTCAGAAAAAGGAGCCAGTGGAAATCTATGTAAAATATCAAGGCCAATGAGATCCTTCCTTCTCTGTCCCTTTCTTCGTGTGTGTGTGTGTGTGTGTGTGTGTGTGTGTGTGTGTGTACAGACTCACTGTCTAGCCTACACTAGTCTCAACTCTTGGGAAGTCTTCTTGCCTTTATCTCACATGTTGAAATCATACCTGGTCTGAACTCAAACACTGAAGATGGACCAGCATCTTCAGTCAAGCACTCACTCCCTTTATGGAAAGGAGACAGGCGGGTGAACCCATGTGGATTCCGCTTTGCCTTTGGCTTTTTATTCTTCCTCCTGGAGAAAAGATCACTACTATGTAGTCCTGATGTGGAACTTGCTACGTAGACCAACCTGGCCTCTAACTCATAGATCCATCTGCCTGCGTCTTTCGAATACAGGGATTAAAGGCAGGGACCACTACTTCTAGTGGGAGGAACTCTTTTTAGATTTCCTTTTCTTTTTTCAATGTTAATGGGTGTTTTGCCAGTCACAACATCTATGCCTGTGTACCTGTGCACAGGGCCCTCAGAAGCCAGAAGATGGCATTGGCAAAACAAGACTTTAACAGTTGTTTAGTTCCCATGTAGGAAGTGGGGTATAAACACGTTATGAACCAGGGTCCTGAACAAGCCTCCAGTGCTTGTAACTGCTGAGCCATCCTTCCAGCAGCGCCAACACGAAGCGAAGTGGAAGCTACTCTTGGGCGCTTCATCCATTTTCATAGAGCAACTGAGTGTACCTCACTGTTGGGTACGCCGTGTCTGGGCGCTTCACCTCACTGTTCCTTGCATAGTAGTTTTAGGTGGCCCCATCTAATTTAGGATTGAGATATCATGAAATGTCTCCATCCCAGGAGCTGCCATACCATTTCAGCTTCTTCCTCTATGTAGTAGAGTCTGTTGTGTCACGAAAGCCATTTCTGGTGTGCAAAGCTTCTCTCTTTGGAGGTCCTCACCTTCATCCTTGCCTGTTCTCAATGCAGATGGCCCAGCGCAAGATCCGAGACATCCTGGCTCAGGTTAAGCAGCAGCACCAGAAGGGGCAGAGCAACCAGGCCCAGGCTCGGAGGAAGTGACCCCGCCCCCTCCTGTCCTATTGGCTCCAGATCAGCAGGCAAACCGCAGAGCTGGAGGGCAGTGGAGGGCCCGTGTGCTCTTCCCAGCAGGCCTGAGAATGAGTGGGAATCAGGGGCCTTAGGGCCTGGCTGGAGATCAGGTTTGCACACTGACTTGAAAAAAATGTTTCAGTGAGGAATCCTGATCTCTCATCCCCAATTCAGCCAGCTGGCCATGGCCCACCCCTTGGCATATCACCATTGCAATTGTAGCTCGGGTTGCTTTTAAACGTGGATTGTTATGAGGAAGTTCTCCAGCTGTCAGAAGGATGGGTCAGATCCCAATGGGGAAGAGAAATAAAATTTCCTTCAGGTTTTCTAAAACCTTAAAGGATGGTTTGTTTCTTGACCCCTCTTCCCCATTCTTGCCTTCTTGGTTATTTGATGAAAATTCCTCCCCTTCTTAATGCCTCGACCAACACCTTACCTCTTCCTGTATTCATTTACACTGTTTTAGCCTTGTTATTTTAGGGAAGGGATGTTGAGGGAAGAGGGCTAGAACACAGCTTTGTGGAGAACACTTGTCTATAGTTGAATTTTGATCCTTCCTTAACCAGCCATTGGGAACAGCAACATGTAAAGAAGGAGAGAGAAATACTTAAAATAAATACTGATCCACGTTTAAAAGGAGGCCTTGGGCTAAGGATAGAGCTCAGTGGTCAGAGTACTTGCCTGGCATGTGCAGGACCCTGGGTTCCATCTTTGGCATCACAAAGAGGAAAAAAATTTCCGTGCCCTTATGGTTGAGATATTGCAGATCACCATCTTGGAAAATTGGCACAACTAAAATTTCTCCCAGGCAGCTGGGGCTTCCTCACCAAGATTCCCCCCTCATTTAAGCCCCTCCAACCTTGTGGATCCTGCTCGGTGCCCTGGTACACATGGGTGTGCTGCGTGCTCAGCGGGGTAGGGGCTGACCTCTGTCCCTGATTCCCATCATTCTCAGGCGGATTTTATATTTTTTTAAAGTCTATTTTAATGATCGGATGTATGAGCTCTGGGAAGGGGGTGTGAGCTCCCTTTGATAAAGTCTCAGTTCCATGGAGGAGTTGAGTGGCCCCAAGGTGCTCTCGCTCCAAGCCGTGTGTGCTCTTAGGAGGGCTGGGGCAGGCATCGCGCTGTGTCCCACCACAGCACTGCTTCCTTGCGGTGGGACTACAGCCCGACCCCCGAGCTCCCGACAAAGCTTAAAGTCATCTTCTGGCAGACTTAGTAAATTGGAGACTATTGCTTCTGTTTTTATTCTAGAGGAGTATTTGACTGACTGCTTATGCCTCCATGAATTGTCATTGTCATTATGAAAGGCATGCCTGGAAACAAACTTCAGATTACCAGCAGCATTGTGCACAAAGGGCTGAACACACCTAACTTATTAATTTAGCAGGCTCAAGGAGATCCTGTTGGAAGTTCAGCCCTTACGGAGGTCGGCGGCCACCATTGAGGTTCCGCCTTCCCTCCTGATACTGTACTGAATGTAATGCATATTAGCCAGGTAATGCACTTTAGCTACCCTGGACAATACTGTCAAGCGTGCTGGGAAGAAAGGAAGGCTCCTCTCTGCATGTGGAGAAGCCCATGCATCGAGCTCCCCTCTTCCAGACATTGCAAGGACAACAGTGACAAAGCAACCATGACATGTGGGTGGAGCTAGGCAGTGCTGTGCTAAGTGAACTACCTCAAGGTGTGAAGTTACCTCAGCAATGATTTCCCTTTGTTCCCTAAACCCCGGTTTTTCATTTTCTTTTTTTTTTTTTTTAATTTTTTAATTTTTTTAATTTTTTGCGGCTTGCTGATATTTTATATAAAAAAGAAAAGCAAAAGAGAAGCTGATAGTCTTGAATATTTTATTTTTTTAATGAAAAGAAAAAAATGAGAAAGTTATGTTTCATAATTTCTTACATGAGCCAGTAACTCTTTAGGAGCTCTGTGGAGAACAGGCCCTGTGGGGAAAGGTGGGGGTTGGGGGCTGGCTCCAGGGGAGGAGGCCAAGGCGGAGCAGGTAACCACAAGGGTGACGATGTCCCAGGACCTTGCCAGGATCTGATCTCTGACCTCAAAGCAGGATTTAAGATCTAGCAGAGCTTGAACCCTTGGGGACCAAACAGAAGTGTCTACTAACCAAAACTGACTGTGGGCACTCTTCCGCCTCCCTCTCTGGTGAGACAGTACCTTAGCTGGGTTTTCCCACATTATTTTAAGATATTGCCTCTGTTTTATCGAGGAGAGAAATGATAACTAAAAAATATACCCTTTTAAGAAAACCTGTATTTCTTTAAAAATATGGGAGCCAAGATTCCATTTATGGGAGAAAGACAAGGCCACCCTCTCTCTGTCAGAGAGGCCCGCCATGTTTGTCATGGTGGTGCTTTTTGTGTTTATTTTTTGGTTATTGTTTCATTTCCATCCACCTCGCTATTCTAGTCTGTATCATTCAGAGACTGCAGGGCAAGCAGATCCTCAGTAACGGCCCTCCCCCACCTCCCTGTCTTCTTAGGTTGATCTGGTTGATTCTAAAAGCGGACCTGTTAAATTCTTGATTATTACTATTATTATTTTTTAGGGTGGTGAGTAGCCAAGAGGGGCTAAGGAGAGACAGTGAACGTTGAGTGGGACAGGATCTTGAGCTGGTACCATCTTACCGCTTAGTCTCTGTCACAGCCCCTCGTAGGCTCCAGACCATGTAGTCCAAAGAGAGAAAGTCTTTCGGATGGTAACAGGCCAAGAGAATTAAGTTTCCCACCTGTCCCAGACACAAAGGGTCTCCCAACCTTCACCTGGCTCTATGTCCTTTGTCCCCAAACAAAGCCAACAATGTTCAGACGTCAGCCATTTCCTGATTTCAAGTGGATTTCTTGCAGCAAGCATGCTTTGATACCCGGTTCAAGTGACCATGGGGGGGGGGGAATCCCACAGTACCTGGATGAGATTGTTGGAGTGTTCCATTCCTTGGGGGCCTGCTCCCTTCACACCTTATGCCCAAGTCCTTTTCCTTTGGCTGATTGAGCTCCCAGAAGAGATCAGAAAGTGTGGCAAGGGACCTGAAAACTTACATGGATTGGGCAAGTTGCCTTGCTGGAAAGCAAGAACATGGATTGGGGTCCAGAGGTCAGCAGGAAGGGAGAGTCTGTCTTGGGTCATCTGGTGACCCAAAGGCCAGATCTTAGGGCAGCTCTTTACCCTGCTCGGTACCTCTTCTTTTCCCCCATCCTGGGTAAGATAGCAAACTATTACAAAAAGCACTTGGGAGATTTGGACGGTTTTGAGAAAAGCAACTTTTAAAATAAACGCTTTGGTGCTCTAAGGTGTATATATAGAGAGAGGTGTATGTGTGCACGCTACACATATATTTTTTGTGAAAGGACCATCTCTTTAGGATCTATTTTTTAAATTCTTTGAAACACATGAAAAGCCAAATGGTTTGATTCACTGACTTACTTTGAAGCTGCGTCTGCCGCTTACACCGAAGTGGCTTTAACACCCCCTCTTGGGGTCTGGTTGCCTTTTGCAGTTTGAGTTGTGGACTTGGTTGCCGGAGGGGTTCTTGGCAGGGCAGGAGAGAACCGTAGTTGAGGACGGGGAAGTTGTGTGGCCCTTGTTCTTTCCAGTCCTTTCTGCTTTTCATCTCCCCCCCCCCCCCCAGCTCTCTGCTTTGGGGGGAAAGTTCATGCCTCACTGTTAGCCTAAGAGACTCCATGTAAAAACCCAGAGGATGCTGGAGCAGGGGCCTCCAGTTGGTTCTGTATGTCCGTTTTCCTTTGTGCCAAAGACAGACAGACAGACAGAGGCTGAGAGGCTGTTTCTGAGTCAAAGCAGTGGCTGGCCATTGTCCTACATCTACTAGGCCTGTCTGCAAAGGAGAGGGGCCTGGAGAGAGTGCACACTGAAGACAAGTATCCACTCTTCTGAAGCTCCTGGGGTATTTGGGAGTGGTGCTTGCCAAGGGCTAGGGAGCAGGGAAAAAGGGGGGTCCTTTGGCTCCCTGTTGCACTTTGGGGAAGGAGGGAATATTTTGGGCTCCTCGTGGGACTGCTCTCCTCCCTTGTCCCACTGCAGAGATGGCACTGGGAAGTTCCCTTCAGGCCTGGCAGACTGGCAGCGAGGAGGGGCCTCAGTTAGCTCTCAAGGGTGCCTTCCCCTCCTCCCTCCCCAGATACCCTCTGCCAAACTGGGAACCATCAGTGCTATTACCTACCTCAGCCCCGGAGGGCGCCAGGCCTGGGCCCCAGGAGGAGCCGGCCCTGTAGGCAGCTCTTCTCCCCCTCTCTTGTGGGGAGCTCTCCTCCTCTCTCCCTAAGTGTTTGGGGGAGGGGGGAGATCCTAGTGGCTTTGCCAATCAAACCACACAACTGTTTTGCCTGTTTGTTGAAAACCAATAGAAGGAAAACAGCTCTGCTTGACAGGACATTGTAGGAAGATTGAAGAGAACTCCTCATTAACGCAGGGGACGTAAAAGCCATTTTCCTCTTAGACGCTCGGTGGTTTAGGTGCAGAATGTTTCTCTCGTATTCAGACACAGAGTAATACCAGCTAGAACTCTTTCTTTCCTTTGGATACATCTCAGTGAGGGGACAGGATGTGGGAGGAGGCCACATGCCTGAGGGGTCTAGTGTGTGGGCCAAAACCTCGGCCCTCCGTGCTGTGGTGGCACCATGGATGCCCTCAAATGGTTGGATGTGGACTGACAGAAGAAGAGAATTTGTTTTTCTTAAATAGTAGGAAGCTCCTGAGCACGTGTCTTTGGTAATCACAGATGATGAATGCTACGAGTATAAATGGATGAACTACCTCAGTCCTTACAGTAAAATTGGAAATAAGGGCAGGGGCTCATGCATGAGGGTATGACTCCCAGCCAGAAGAGAGTTGAGGTTTGTCTTGGGGATCAGGCAGGCCTGCCAGGATCCCTTCTCATAGGTCGGGTTGGCAGGGTTCGGCATCTCGTGTTCCCCCCCGCCCCCCCCCCT